TTAATTATTGGATCATTCATTTCCAAATTTATTTCAAAGTATACAAACTTTCTTATAATTTATTTATTATTTATTAATCGTGATATCGTGGGGACAGGTGTCTGAATACAATCCAATGTCAAATAATGAATCTCATTTTGTTAAACAAAAGTTCGTTCACGTATTTCAAAGTTTTAATGTTTATCACTAAATCTAATAACTTTGGTTTTAATTTATTCAAATTTTTTAAGTATTTCGTGAATCAATAACAACATTAAATTTGAGTTTAAATAAAATTATTTAAAACTTTAAAATATAGTATTAACCATACTGTAAAATATGGCTTATTGTACTTGCTTATTTCATTATTCAGATAAGTAAGAGTGAAAATTTTATTTTTTAAACATTTATATTTAATCTTTTGACAGAATACCAGAATAAGTCTAATGACAGAAGTGTGGAAATCATTACTATATAATTTATTAACTATACAAATAATATAATGACCGAAATATAGATTTTATCACAAAACGTTTGTATTGATTGTACTGTATTTGTCTCATATTTTTTTTATAATAAATAGCCAATAGTATTGCCATAAAAGGAGTAAATTGTGTTCAAATTAATTGCTGTCTTAATGAATATAAAAGTATAGCATTTTAGGAATGTGTTGCGAATAAAATAATTTTAAATTATATATGAATACAGAATACATTGTATGCAATATATTGTAATTTGCATATAGTTGTAGAGTTGAGAGAGAGAGAGAGAGAGAGAGAGGGAGAGAGAGAGAGACTGAAATAGTTTTGGTGAGTTATCTAAAGCCTTCATAACGTCAGCAAAGATTCTCTAATTTTATTTCTCATATAAACGACACGAAACACAATATTTGTATTGATTTAGACTTTAATAAATGTTATGTTTATTATAGACATGAATAATGAATAATATTTTGTATTGAATTGTATATAAATGTGATAAATATAATATAGCATTGAATCAATTTTCGTTGAAGCCAAACGCAAAGAGTAAGCAAGGAACAATGGACCCTGAGGCATTCTTGGAGATGGCCAACCAGGTGACCAAACTCCGGATGTACCCCTACTTCGAAGTGGCCCACGCAGTCATCTCTTGCCTCTACATCCGCGAAGACCTCGCATCCGGTAATCATTGCCATCAATACCCTTAATGTTCACATTGAGACCAATTATATGCCACAATCATATGATTAATCAAATATTCAATAATGATATTTGCAATCAAATGTCAAGAGGTTAGTGGTTAATGAGATAACAAGTGATTGTCTTGTGTCAGGATGTGTGGCCTTCTCGAGGAAGCATCCCTTCTCGTGTTGGGTGTCGTGTATGGTCTCCATCTTCGCCGGCAATATTCTCTCATCGTTTCTGTTGTCGGAACCCATATTAGGCGCCTTCAAGAACACCAATCAATTGCTTTTGGCGACAGCCGTCTGGTCTGTAATCATCAATTGATTCAATTGATTGTGTTTATGGTGTTGTATGTAATGTGCAATGAATTGGTTGACAGGTATCTCATATTCTACTCGCCGTTTGACATCATCTACAAGATATGCAAACTATTGCCCATTAAGATAGTGTTCGCTTCCATGAAGGAAGTGATTCGCTGTAAGAAAGTCAGTGATGGTGTCCTACACGCGGCTAAACTATACCCAAACGGATACCTCATTATGATTATCATAGGAACCATCAAAGGTGTGTTCAATGAAACAGATATAAAGTATATTTGAATAACTGGTCAACTAAACTGGTATAATTTCCATGTAGGCAATGGGGCCGCTTTTCTCAAGTTAATTGAACGAACACTTCGAGGAGTTTGGACTCCCAATGCCATTGAATTCCTATCACCAACTTTGTAGGAATTCAGATCAGATGAATATGAATGCAAATAATCATGTCATGTATTGTGTTTAGTGCCACCAAAGCGAGTATCGCCGCCTCTATTGTATTCATAATTGACAAGAAGACAGACTGGATATCAGCGCCGCCGGCACTCGTGTACTTCGGAATCGTTATATTCTTCGTGTACTTCAAGTTGTCGTCAATGCTATTAGGAATTCACGACCCGTTCATCCCTTTCGAGAACCTATTTTGTGCCCTATTTTTCGGTGGCATTTGGGATGCGTTGGCCAGAGTTATATCTGGAGGTAAGACACAGTCCTCACTGCGTGACCACAACTCATGTATTGATAATACTGTATATGAAATGATAGCCAAAGGAAACAGCGACCCGAATGCGAAGAG